TTTGCAGTGTAAAATATTTGTTAAACAAAATTTGCGTCTTTGTCTAAAAATGATTTTAATGAAGAATAGACACTAGACGAAATTTTTAATATGATTTGTCAATTAAGAAAATTTTGCATTTGAAATATAAATAAAACAGTGCAATCATTTTTATACTAGTTCGCCTAACTAAGCTACGTCCAGTCTCCTTCAACTGAAGGGTTCCACTAGATATCAGAATGAAGAACATTTGAGTATTATCGTCCACTCCTAGACCTGAGACCTGGGTATTCTCGACCACTCCTGGCCCGTTGACTTCACTCATCAACGCTAGTATTCTTAAACCACTTCTGGTTCCCCAAGTATTCTCGACCACTCCTGGCCCATCGACTTCACTCATCAACGCTAGTATTCTTAAACCACTTCTGGTTCTCCAAGTATTCTTGACCATTCCTGGCCCGTTAGCTTCACTCACCAATGCTAGTATTCTCTTATCAGCCACTTTTGGCTAGCTGTGAGTATTCTTTCACAAGCCCCTCCGGGCTTTACAAGTATTCTTTCCCTAGCCTCTTCAGGCTTTACACATGATAGATTTGTGCTTTGGTTTGAGTGCATACATAACTCTCATAGAGAGGATTGAGAATTTTCTACACTCTCTAAAGTCTGCTACCTTAGTCTTACAGAGACTTATGTTTGAGTGTTTGGGTTACTCTTATGGAGAGGATACATAGGTGTGCAACACTCACTAATGTTTTGTTCATAAGTGACATTTCGAACACCTTAGTCTGCAGAGATAAAAATACAATGTTACATTGTACATATGACTATGAACGCTCATCTCTAGTCTCTTTGTCTTGTGGGCTTGTTATCACTCTTTTTCTTCTCATCAAAAAGCCATCCTTTCAAGGTTTGAGGTAGTGATATATATATAGTCTTGTAGAATTTGCCCGTTGCTTGATCTTGAATATATTCGTTAAAGCGAAGCTTCCCGTTGCAAGTGTCCGTTGAAGCAGATATAGTCGTTCATGACTAGTTCAATCTACTCATTTAATGCTTAAGTTCTTGCATTAAATGTTGCTTCCTGTGATAGGCCTTGTGTGAAGTCTTCTTTGTCTTGTTAGTAGATGTGTCCGACTTTAGTAAAGACCTAGGAATCTTTTTGTCCTTTTCTGGTCTCGTAACTTGTAGAGTGTTGTCCTTTTCTGAAAAGGTGACGCACTTTTTCTAACACATGCATGCTTCTTATTTTGACTCGTTTCTCTTTTCCTTCTTTCTTTCCCTTAACATTGAGAGCTTATTTTATGATTGTGGATGATGTTTGAGTCTTTCTCTGAGATCTGATTCTATTCTTCATGATGATTTTCGTTTGCGTCTGATCATTTCATGTGCTTCTCACGTTTTGGATCTTCATCTAAATTTCTCTGATTAGGTTAGTCAATGTGTAATTTAGAGCTTTGGACTTTGTCTGAGTATTGATGCATTGACTTCTCCATTATTCTATTCAACTCGTTATATTGACTTTTTTTCCATCTTGATGTTCTTTCTTCTTATTTATTTTTGTCTTTCTTCTTATCTTCGTTTCATGCTTGATCCATTTCTTCATTTTGCACTGGGGGGTGGTCTTGACACACATCTATTGGACTCATAATCATTTGGTGTACACATTGTACTCTGTCTATTCAATTAGCTTGAATTGTCTGGTTCTCATGACATGCCTTGTCGTAACTGTTCTTTTACCAGAGTTGATCATTTGGTTTCATCTGATGTTTGACACAACTTTCATCTGATTCTTGTTTAGTTTTCACAGGCTTCGTGGATTCATTTAATACCTTTGATCTTGCATTAAATGTTTGTTTGCTGAACCTACGTTCCACAAGTTTTTTTTGTACCATTTTTTGCTTTTATGTCTGGCATTAAGATATCTCTGTACTTTCCTGGTATTGTAGCTACAGAGGCGTTGTCCTTTACTGACTGGTAGGTGTACTTGCTCTGACACATGTAGTTTTGATTAGTGGATAAGCGCTCGTCCATTTTCCTTTTCTTTCTTCTCCTATTTTGATGTCTTCATGTGTTCTTCTGAGAGTATGGATGCTAGGTAGTTTGTCTCGTTGTGTCTTCAGACGTTATCCAACATTCTCGATTTTTGTCTGTGTATTTCAAGTCTCCGTCTGGTCGGTTGTGAAGGTTTTGACTTAGTTTTGTCTATCGTCCATGGTCTTGTATCATTTGAGGCTTCATTTATTTTCTTCTTGTGCTGGGCTTGATTCCATTTAATCGTTTAATCTCCTCATCTGACGTCTTGTTAGCTTTTTCCCTTCATCATGATTGTACGTGTCCCTTTTTATTTATTTATTTTGTGTCTATGTTTGTGGGTGTCTTCGTCTAATGTATTCCCTTTATTTGATCAACCTTAATCCAGTGCTTAGCTCATATCTCTTGGTTCTGGAGTGGACGATAATACATGCATATTCTCTATCCTTCAACTTGTCTGTACTTATATCTGAAACACTAACACACTTGTTAGAAATAACAACATGTATTATATTTGTCTCATTCAAAAACTTGCTGGAAATTGTTTTCATCTTCATCTAACTTAACATAGTTGATGTAATTGAAAATGTACATGAGATATATAAGGTGATATAAGGAATATATGATATGTGAAGTGAGATCATGTGTATTATGTTATTGCATTGAGTTTGTTTGACATGCATCATGTACATAAAAGATGTTTTTTAAGGGTACAATATGGAATACACTGCCAATGAAAGTCCCTTGTGTAAAAGCTTAGGAATCAATCATGGGGATAACTCGGTTTGGAAGTCCCAATCTTGCCCTCATGTACATGGGATGTATCTTGTGTGACTTAACTATCTCAACTAGACCCTAGTAGTATGTCTTTCTAGTGAGAGTGCACAGAGGGTGTGATCCAACATGTATTCCTAGACTACTTTACATGTATTGGTAGTGGCAATACATAAGTGTGATATTTTTACTAGTGTCACATGCATGAGAATATGTAGTTTGTGTGCATTACATAATGTATTTGTTATTGTTTATTATGCTATGACTAAATAAATGTGATGTTTATTAGTGTATGTTATGCATTGTTGTATGCTTTGTTTGTGTTTGATTATCCAATTGCATTCATACACCGTGAGTTAGAGTGAGATATTTCTCACCCCCTTTTCTTTGTGTAGTTTTCCTTGGTTGTTATGTAGGTGATCACTAGCATGAGACTGAAGATGTTGATGATGAGGCTTAGGCTTTAATGTTGAGTTTTACTTTAATAGGACATGTGATATTGAGGCGTAGCTAGGACTAGATTAGGATGTTATTTTTGTAAAATTATTTTGGATACATTAATTTTTCTTCCTTACAATTTCATTGATTATGTTGTTTTGCTAAGTTAAAAATGCAATACCTTCTACTTGAACATATTTGATTTATTTATGAAGATTACATTATTCAATTTATTTTACTACTTATGTATTCTGGCATGTGGGGTAGAGAGTGTCATAGTGATGTTGGGCCCTAGTTGGGTGGCACCAAACATGATCAAAGCAGGTGCTCTCTATCTAGATGACATTAGGTGCTAGTGATGGGATGCCTATGTGAGTCAAGCAAATGTTCTCTTCTTGACATGAGGTTGTGAATGGATTTTTCCACACCATAAGTGAGGTCCTAGGGGTTCCCTACCTCAATCATGTTGTGTGCACGTTGAGTGGTGTCAGGTGTGGACAAGGTAGAGGGCTCCTTGCCTCAACAGTGTTGGGCGTGAGGTAAGTTGTGCATATCATGGGTTATGTTGCTAATACATGTTTTTTGATGAATGTTTTGGTGAACATGAATAGAGTATGCAAGTCTATTGCATGTTGTATGATTGTGTGAAGGTGACGGGCATTGATATGTTATGTATGATTTTTATGCTATAATTGCATGGTTGTGGTGTTGAATAAGCATTGACATGCTATACTTTTGTAGTTGAAATCATGATAAGCATTGATATGTTATGTATGATCGATATGTTATAAATTGCATGGTTGGAGTGTTAAATAGACATTGGTATGATATTATTGAATAAGTCATTGAGCATTGGTATACTAGTCTTGGATGATGATATGTATGATCGATTTGTGTGATTTGATCTCTACATGCATTGACCTAGGGTAATGTATATAGATGTTGTATGTTGAGGTGTTGATATTGAGAATGTTGTAGGTATTAAAGTATGTTGATTGACTTAAGACTAAAGGAGAAAGTGTTGTTTGAAAGTTGAAAATCCCATATAGGGAATCTTGTTTTGGTGCTCTAGGAGGCCAATTGTTGAAAATCCCCCTTGAGTAGGTGTGAAACTTTTGGAATGAATTTTGTTAAGTCTCTTCTAGATCCTTAGTCAATGTGAAGTAAAGTATCAAGTCAAGGGCTATAACCCTTAACTGTATGGTGTGAATTGATAGTATTCATATGCATGGTGTGAATACCTTAATGTATGGTATGATTATGGAAAATGTTTAAATTTACTTAGGTGTTTAGCTTTCAAACATGTTGGTGTTGTGTTGTTTTGTGATTGTTGTAAACCATGTGACATGTTTTGGTTAGTTTACATGTTGGAAAGTAGTATAGATATCCCTTCCTATATTTGCTTTGTTTTGAAATCTAGATTACCCTTATGTGTTTCTTTATGTGGTTGAAACTATGATAATCATGATATTTCATGGGAGTAAGACAGAATTAACTAAAATTGAACTAATGAAACTCTTGCTAAGTCATATATTTTGTTAGTGTAGTCTTAGACTACTTTCATATATATATATATATATATATATATATATATATATATATATTTATATTTATGCATATATCTAGGTGAGATAAACATATTAATATCAAGTATTTAAAGTTGTTTTCTCTACTTTTTTTTTGGATGATTCCATAAGAATAATTGTCAAGACGGATCGCTACATTCTTGGTACATATAAATAAGAAAAGATGCAGTAAAATCAGCTGCACCTCATATGAGAGAAAAAAATTCTCCTTTGCAAATTACTTCTTCTTCGTCTAACCAGAAAATTAAACATCACATGCAAGCCACGGCATGAAAACTGGGTTAAGAGTTAAGACCATGTATGACCCTTTCTGTACCCACAAAACAAGAAAAAATTGACAAGCCATTTCTTTCTGAACTTTCTTCAATCATGCAACCCTGAACTCTGAAGGGATCAATGATGAGTTCCAAAGTCTTAACATTAAAAAACGAAAATTCTATCACCAGCGCATGATTATGTCATTATAAACCCAAAGTCTAACTTCGTTTTATCAACAAGAAGAAAAATACATTATATTATAACTCATAAGCCAATTGCAGCTAATGTCAATTTGGGCGACAAATAACTAACAAGGCTGATCTACAAGCAACAAACCAAACCAAACCAAAGACACTAACGAAGCCTAATTAAAGTTCAACTTACTAAAACGTAACAAGATATTCACTGTCATGTAGCAGAGGATCCGGAATCAAACTACAAGAAAAACATTTGTGATCAAATTCATCACCCCTTTGAAGAGAAACAAGACTTTCCGTGTACCTAGCAGCCCTTATGGAATCATATTTTCCATAAACCTCAAGATCCCTTATTTTCTCCGACTCATAAATCACCAATCTTTCGTTGCTGTCCTTCCAAAGAAACCGATCGCTCCCACAAAACCCCACGAGCTTGTAAATCACTTGCGCAGGTCCAACACTGTATTGCTTAACCCAAGACCCTTCATCCCAATAATCCTTCATCACCCACACGTCAAAGTGCTTCTCTGTTCCCTTCACAGGGTAAACAATCACACCAATTGTAGCGGACTCGTTAAAGGGTGCAAGAGTCGCAAAACTCTCCTCCGAAGAGTCACGTATTTTGGGCACCTTGATCTTCCTAAAGACATCATGGACCATGTCAAACGCTAGAACCACATCTCGTATTGCACCAAACTCATCAACAAAGCCCCACCAGTGACAACAATTGTTGGCGTAAGTATAGACCCGAGAAGAGCCCCAAATTTCAAGTGGAAGTGGGAGAGCATCCTCAAGTTTTCTCCAAGAATTGGAGCTGAGGCTGAACAACTCAGCAGTCCAATACCCAACTTGTCTTTCGTCTGTTTCCTTCAACCAAAGGTCCTTGATCACCACAACTTTGAAGTCACCGGTTTCGGGGTCGAAGCCAAAGCCAGCGTAGTCAGTGAAAGAGTAAGTCCCACATCGGGTAGCGAAATGGGACTCTGGCAAAGCCCTGAACTGCCTCAGAGAAGGGTTGACCAAGACATTAGGATTGCCTTCTAGCATGTATATGCCATTGCAAGGACCCAAGATTTCGGTCCAGTATTTGTGGTCAGTGTTGAATTCATAGGGAGGGTTCAAAACATGAGACAAAACATGTTCTTTGGGGTCGTTGGTTTTCCATGAAAGAACCGAAATGTAAGTTTTGAGGCCCGAAAAAAAGGGTCTTCGAATCACCAAGAGATGTTCCTCTTGGGTTTCGAGAGTGTTGTAGAGAACATAGTAATTGGTAACGAAATGAGGATCGGTTATGAGATCGAACCATGACTTGCAAACGCACTTGCATAGCATCAACACCTTCGCGGGCAACCTCGTGAGCACGTTGGACACCAATTCTCGTGGCAAATTCTCCATTTTCGATCATCAACACTTTGGAATGGGAATTTTGAACTTCGGATTTTGTAAAATATTAATATCAAAGACAGCGACCAAAACAAAGTCTACCAATCGTTTTACTTGTCTTATGCATCGAATATTGCCGGGTCAAATTTGGCTCTCCATAAAATATCTCTATGTGTGTCGATCGTTTTGTTTCAATTTTACTTCATTATTTAGGGTATGAGTATTGATGTTCGATACAACTATATATATTATTTTTGACGGTCTTATTTTTTTTTATTTTACTAATATTTTAGCTAGTAGAATGGAAAGGCTAAATTAAAATATAAAATAATTTATGTGTATAGATAAATATTTTTAATATATAAACTATATTTAAAATTATAATAAATAGTTTATATTATAGTACAAGATTGTTTTTTATTTATTGATAATTTATTTTTAAAATATTAAAATATAATTTATCTATAATTATAATAAATAAGAATTAAATTAAATATGAAAATAGAAAATCTAAATTTTTAAAATTTATCTCATTAATAAGAAGTCTATAAATTTACATTTCTTCTTGTATCATATATAGAGATAAAAATACATTTTTTCTTGTATCATATATAGAGATTGATTTTTTTTAAATAAAATCTCACATTTTTAAAGGGAAACTTAATATATTTTTTCGTGACCAATTATATCAATTTTTTTATCCTATTTTTATCAAAGTGTATACGTTATGGGAATGTCTAGAATAATTTTTCCTTTTTCACATTTATCATCGTAATGAATGAGTTTGTAGTTTTAGTGTTCATAGATTTTGCCTTTTTCTTGTTTCTTGTGGATGTGAATTGTGTTGCAATCAAAGTCATGAAATACGATGAAAAAAAAAAACCTAATGGTGATATCACTATTATTTTATTTTTTTTAAAATATATATTAGAAAACACTTTACAAGAAAAAGATCTTTTGAAAACAAATGTAAGTTTGACGGTTGGATAATATTAATAACTGGAAATAATATTTTATCAAAAATGAAATATTTATAAAATGAAATACTTTTCATGAAAAAGAAATATTCAAAATTTGAAAATATGTTATTTATATTTTATATAAAAAAGGAAAGATTAAAAACATGAAAAAGATATTTTTATTTTTATGAAAAAAAATTTAAAATTTGAAAGGATATTTTTCAAGAATATTATTTTTAAGAATTTTAAATTCTTAATTTTTTTATATTTTGGTGATTTAGTCTTTGAAATTAAATATTCGTTTATAGTTCTTAAATTTGATAAAATATTTATTAAATATTTATACTTAAATAATATTAAATTATTATTTCATATGTTGTTGATGTGTATAAAGTCTCTACTCATAATATTTTTATAATCTACCAAATTATAATATTTTTTGGATTATTAAAGAATTTGAATGACTAAAAAATAAATAATGGTGATGGTGATATGAAATAATAATTTAATATAATTATTTAAGTGTAAAAGGATAAATAATATTACATTAAATTTTACTTTTATGAATTGTAAATGTCTAACTCTTAAAACTAAATTATAAATTGAAAGTGCCAATTACAAGTTATTTTAGTTTAGGAAATTAATTAAAAAATTATAAAGTATTCAAGAATCAATATTAAACTAAAAACTTAATATAAAACTGGTATTACACAAAAATTGAAGTGAAATTTTATTTTAATTCAAAATTAATAATAATAATAATAATACTTAATTATATTTTTCTTAGCCGACTTAATTATAAATCTTGTTACATATGAATATGATAATGAAGTTTATACAAGAAAAATATTTAATACTAAAATATAATAAATTATGCGTCCATCAACTGTTTTTTCACAGCTTTCTTATCAATCTAGATAACAATCGAATGGCCGAAGATAACGTGCAGATATTTTGCAGAAAAGTACTAAAGTCTACAACGGTAAACGTCGGTGGCTTTCGTTCTTTATAAATATCTTCAATTTTGTTTTAATTAGTATTTTAATTAAATATTTATTATATATAATAACTAAAATTCTAATAATTTATATATACACATAAATATTGTATTTAAATATAAATTATATTTAAAAATTAAATAAAAAATATATATTTGAAGTATATAAATTAAATTTAAGTTTTACAATAAATAACTTATAATAATTTTTATTTATTAATAATTTATTTTAAAATATTAAAATTTAATCATAAGTAATTATAATACATAAAACTGAATTATATATGAAATTAATTTTATAAAAGAAACTCTCTTGTTAATTTTTTTTAAAATATTATCATATAAGCAATTTGTACTTTTTTATTTTAGTATATAAATGAGAAAGAAATCAAATAAAGAAAAAAAGAATCCCAACTCGATGTTTTTGGAACATCACTCTAAGAGAATCTACTAGCATAAACCACTAATATTCCGAGCAGATTCTTATAATAAAACTAAACTCTCATCTCCTAAAGTGATAGAGGGCCATCCTTGGAGATACATGTAGAATTTATCATTAGTTTCATGGTTAAGACAGTGGAAGAAGATAGGAGAGGTAACACCCTTAAAGACATGCTCCTCATAATTATAGAGTATTGACCACTTTCTTGAGTTTGGTTAGTATAGGATTTATTTTTATTCTTATTTTTCTCTTGTCTTGTATTTCTCATTTTACTCTTGTATTTTGGGGTACTTTAGACATAAGATTTATTTTACTTGTATTTTTCATTTTATCCTTGTATTTTGCGTGCCTTAAGTTATAGGATTTTATTTTGTAACTAGGGTATTTTATTAGGGTTGAGACACTAGACCTAAACGTGTTTTTGTGATCATTAGATTTATTTTTGGACTTGGAAGGGTTTAGGCCCAAGAGGAGGACACCTAGGTCACATGATTTTATTATGCACCTAATTGTAGCTTAATCAAGCCAAAGATTCCATTCTTGGCCACCAAGTAGGTGTCACATTAGGTTTAATTTAGGGTGCATTTGGCTTACATTGCTCAGCCATGCACTTAAAAATGCAACCCTAATTCATTCCTCCCTTTTATATATATACCCTAGGCCACCCACTTTGTAAATACTTTGGAATATATAATATTGAGTGAACATTTCATGCCTCAACATCCCTTCCTTAGTCATTAGGTTGAGATTTTTGGCCAACCTTCTCTTATCTTCACCCATGGAGAGTGAAAACCCTATAGTGACCTCCACCTTCATTTGGAGTGAGCCAACCTTACCTTAAAAGCATCTACACTTCACGCCCTTCATCTTTTACCTTGGATGACTACTTTCATCCATGGAAACTAGGAGCTCTTGATGATCCAAGATCCTTGGAGTAAGGAGTCTCTCCCCTTGAATCATCAATCCATCAATTGAGAGGAGGTTCCATCATTTTGGTATCTAGAGCCAAAGTTCATCAAGGGTAACTTCTAGTCTTGTCTTTCTTCATTGTATTCGGTCATGTCAATGTCTTCTTGCTTGTCTTGTTGTTTGGCCAAATAGATCATCAAAATATATGTCCATATGATCTATGTGTCTTGTCTTGAGTTTTGGTTCATTTTATGCATTCTTATGAACCTTCCTTGTGTGCTTTAGGCTTCCTTGTTTAGGTGGTATTCATCCTTTTTGCTTTTAGGTTTTTAGTTGCATATGAACATGAAGAACATGCCATGAACATGTTTTTTGATTTTTAAATCCATCCAAGTTTTGTCTAGTCTTGTTATTCCTTTTTTGTCTACAAAAATCTATGTATGTATGCCAAACACTTCGCATGTATACATGAACAAAAAATATTTATGTTGCATAGCATCAAGGTGGGTGTGACATTTAGAAGCTTTTAGGTGTCATTCCTGCATGCTATTTAGTCCTAGCATGTTCCATGTGTTTTTTAGCATCCATGTGTAATTTGATTCCTTGCACATGCATTCAATTTGTAGCCCACTTTCCTTGCATTTCCACTTGAATTTGGTCAATACTTGAGGTTTTGCTATACCTAAAAGAATCTAAGAGTGTGTGCTAGAAATTTTTGCGAAAGAAATTGTACCAACTAGTACAATACACTTTCCACTCAAAAGATTCCCTAAGACCTTCTAAGAAACCGCTACTTGTCATCTTCTTTCTCCAAAATTTGACCTAAAATCTAACCATACACAAGTGCAAAATCGAAGCAACAAAATAGGATTGAAAATTTTTTAGAAAAAATCTGGACTGAAAAAAAGGAAAAATCTTACGTGAAAAAGAAAGGAAAAAGAACAAAAAAAATTGTTTGCCAAAAGGACTTGTTGCTAGGCTTGTGGACTTGGACCCTTACCTTACCTATGCTTTTGGAGTTGGACTTATGACCTTTATGGACTTATTTTTGAGACCTTAGAAGTGGCTGGACCGAACCATATTAAAGACCAAATCAAGTGGATTAAAATACTTAATCTATTCAAGAACCATTCTAAGACTATTCTCTTTGTGTGCTTCCTTTCAAATGTGCCTTAATTTTAGATTTTCATTTTTTTTACTTCTTTGTGTCTTGTCTTAATCAATTCTATTTGAGTTTAGCCTTTCTTTAATTGTGCCTTTTCAGTTTTATTTTTTTGGACTCTTGCTCTTGGGTTGGTTTCAATTTGGTTGTAGGTGAAGAATACTCCTCGGCAACTAGCAAACCTTTGGTGGATTGAGTGGATAAGCCATCAGAATCTCTACCTAGGCCTTTAGAGGGATTAAACCACTAAAAGAAGTGATTAAACACTTGGAAAGGCTGACCCAAGTTTGCTTATTGGTGCAAGACTTGAAGAGAGAGCAAACTAGCTAAGAGTTGGTGACAGATTTGGTTTTACCAATTTTTTCACTAACTTTTTCATCAATTTTCTTTGTAACTTTGTTTTAATTTTTTCCATCTCTTTCTCACTATGTAAAAATCCTTTTAAGGGGTGTCTTGGGAAGCCTTTGGTGTGATCCCCTCTTCCCTTGGTTGGTTATTTTTACTTGTAATAATGTTCGTGTAGTTGGAGGTGATTTGAAAGCCTCCACCTAGGAACATCGACTAGCATATGTTTTATAGCGTTCATTCAATTTCTCTTTGGTAGTATAAATGCCTTAGGTCTCTTGCTTCGTTTAGAAGGCTACAATTTGCCTATTAGGCGTTCGTGCACACACACACACACTTGAATTTATGCAACATTGTTTTGTGAGAAAAGT